GTCTCTTTTAAGATCGGACTACCGAAATTTGGCTCTTTTATACGAATAACCTAGCATCGTTTCTTTAAGTTCTGTGTAAAGCGAAAGGAAGAGGAAAAGAGACAGAAGGAGAGAGAGAGAGAGAGAGAGAGAGACAGAAAGGGCAAATTCGGAAACCACACGAAAAACCGTATTTGTGTGGCTTTTCACGGAAAGCGTGCACCTTGAAATCGTAGTCCATTCAGACGTTCATTCTCGAAAGCGGTGAGGGTTGAGAAATTCTTGCAAAAGGGCACGTATCGTCGGTGCTTTTTCGAGAAAAACAAAAGGAAAAGAAGAAAGCGAAATACGAAGGGATGAAAAAAAAAAAAGATGAAAAATATATAAACGAAATGTAATCTTTTTCGTAGTTTTGCAGCAGCGAACGGTTAAGCACGACTTACTGCTAATGTGGATGCGTACGTTTTTATCCCACGAGACCACAATGTTCGTATGTTCGGCCTCTTTTCTCGTTAAAAAAAAAAAAAAAAAAAAAAAAAAAGAAGTAAAAATAAAAATAAAAAAGGTAAGAAATTCTTTCATACCATCTCTCTTCCGTTTCAAGTAAAGAAGAAATCGTCTCGCCGATTACGCTTCGTCTGTTTCCTTGGTTTTTATTTGAAATAACAATCATGAGCCGTCGCTCAAGTTATGTGCTTTACAATTTTCTTAATTTTTTTTTGTTAGAGTATGTATGTATATATATACGTACTGTGTATATTGTATATATATATATATATATATATATATATATATATATATATATGCAATGCAAACGCTTTTGAATCTTTTAACACACCATTTTCTTTTTTAAAAAAATTTGTAATTTCTTATTCATCAGAATTGGTTAAATGATTTCACCTCTCGTTCGAAGAAATATCCTTTCCGTTTGGATTTTCCTCGAGAACTATTTATACTTTAACGTATAATTTTATAATCAGATATCTAAAAGTTTGATAACTCGGCTTCGACTTGCGCGAGTTTCGCATTAATATTTATTTATATGATTTCGCGTTTACTTTGACTTTCATAAATACACAACTACAATTAAGAATCCGCGGTAGTAGAATTAAGAAGAAAATTGTATGCTAATCAACCGCTATAAGGGAGTACGAATTAAATGAAGTTTCTCTTAAATTTAATACGAATATATTTAAGATGAAAGTTGATTGAGACGTTAAATAGCTTCGAATAATTTTAATGTTAATCGTTATTAAATATCGAACATGCAATCAAATCACTTAGGGTTTATCGTTCGTATCTTCGACGAAAAATGTCGATGATCGATCGAACGCCTATTTCCCATCGTACATTAAACGATTTTTTTTCATGGGTATCGACATTAAAAGTTCAGGGCGCCGATCGGCCGCCGTAAAATTCGGTAGCAGGCATAACGCGACGTGACACAACACAACGAATCCCTTTTTTTACGATGCGAACATATTTCACCTTTAGCCTCTCAGAATTAATACTTTACTTACGAGCGAAGTTATCTATATCATACGATAAGGAAGGACAAAGCTAAACGGCTAACTCAAGCTATCTTTTATCTTTTTTCTTTTCTTTTCCTTTTCTTTCTTTCTTTCTTTCTTTCTTTTTTACCTTCTCTCTTTTCTCTTTTTTTTTTTCTTTATTTAGTTTTTGCAACCCTCATTATTTCGCATCGATCGATAACTTTCTAGCATAACGATCGGAAACTTCAAAGTATCACTACTTGAAATTATTAACGTAGCGCGTGCAACACTTTCCTACTTATCGTCTATCCCTCTTTTACTCTTCCATCGCTCTTATACCGTCTCTTTATCAGCCGAACTGATACGAGTTACGACGTTCTTCCGACAAAGTTCCGGCATCCTCTCGTCTTCGTCGTCGTCGTCATCGTCGTTGTCATCTTCTCTTCTTCCCTACCCCTTCTCTTCCACCACTTTCCTTCCCACCCTCTCTCATTCTATCTCGCGTACGTGTAAGCCGAGAGAAGAAGGGTGTAAAAGCCTTACGGCAAAGCCTGTGTTTCTCCTTTCAAAAGGTTTCCCTCACAAGAGAAAGGTATTTTATTTACCAAGGACGACGCATATTTTTAGCATTTCTCGCAAATACTTTCGATCATCGAGATACCATCGGATGGCTTTCCCTCAAAAAGATCTGTGCGTATCTTTTACGTGCTCAAAGCAATTTCAAGAATAGATAAATTCTAAGAGAATATATCTCCTTCTCTCTCTCTCTCTCTATCTCTATCTATCTCTCTCTTTCTCTCTAAAGATTCCCTAGGTAATCATTCTCCCGTTCTCAAAATTCTCATAATTCCATAAATTACTTACACCTAGGGATGATACGATTAGTAGAACATTATGTAATTTAAGGAATGCATTTTGTTGGCATAGCTTACACGTCGACGTAGTTGCGTCGAAAATTGAAAAATAAGTGAAATAAGATTACGGCGAAATAGAAAAGAAAGAGAGAAAGGAAAGAAAAAAAAGAAAGA